TGTATAATTACTAACAATAAGATAAATAAGAATTAAAGACAAATAGTTTAAGTATTTTTTTTATTTTTCGCGAATGTCTAGAGTTCCCTCTCTTGTGACGTCTGAAAAAAAGGTAAAATAATTTCTTTTACAATGCGATATTTAATACAGATATAAATACTTTATCAACTAGTTTAAATTAAGTTGTCAAATCAACAACAATCAAAACAATAAATATCAATTTTAAATATGATAAGAATTTACAAATTATTGTATAATTTATTAAAGATAAATAACACATAGTTTCTTCTTACTCTGAGTGTAGCAGTAAATTGAATCTCTGCAGCTTCCATATAATTCATAGATATTGCATATAAACCTAATAATGCATGTAATTGTGATCTATGGCCTTGAAGTAATCTAGGCTGTCGCCTGTAAAACTGACAAGCTTGAGAAATTTCCGCGAGAGCCACGCTTTTATTTCCCAATACAAGCCGACACATAACTATATGTTCCAAAAGCATTAATTGAAACACAGACAAGATAGGTTTATTATCGACAACTGTAAAATAATAAAAATTTTTAATTTTTTGAGCAAAGCATTAAAAACAAAGGAAAAATTGATACAAGGGAACAAAAGATGTAATGCATATTTACTTTTCAGTTTTTCAATTTGAGTTTTATAAGGGTTTTATCGGTATATTTCTGAGCTTTATCCATATATCCAGCTTGCATAGAATGCATGACAGTTACTAAAAAACCAAAACATATAGATGATCTTTTGGCATCCATATAAACATATCTCCTATGTTGGAACCTGTAACTACATCATCAGTCGGCCAACTAGGAGACATTATAGTTTGTATGCTTTGTTGCAATTGTTTTAAATTAAACAAGATTTCACGCTTTTCATCTAATTTGAAAACATATAAAAAGATCAAATATATTACAAATGATAATTTCACATATTATATTTACTACATATAGATCATAATACTCAAAAGTATATTCGTACCTGCCCTGCCATGAGGTAGTGACATACTTGGAGAACTAAAGAGTAGACTTTCAGATATTCCTTTTGATGTGGACTACCTTACCAATTTTCTACATGATGACCCGCTGAATTTAAAAGAGGATGAATCTCTGTGAATTTTTTGTCTTTTAGAAGAAGCATGCACCGAGATAGAAGAAAGAGTACTCTGGTGTAACTGGTGTTGCTTATGTGAGAATAATCCACTGCAAGTAGACTGCTCGCTGCAACAAAGTCCTTTTCCGAAGCATGAATTTGTTATAAATCATAAATTATCATTTTCTAGAAATACTATTTCTAGATGCTACTTCCAGAAATGCAAAATAATCGTTGTTGAATTTACTGCGAGTTGAAAGATAAGCCTGCAATGCTAGTAAACATTGTGCTGAGATAATTCTATGGTTTACTTAGGTTTGGCTGTTGCTGTTGTTCGTACAGTTCCGCAACCACACTGGCTGCCACAAATTTCACATCGTCAAACGTATTTATGTTCTGATTCAGTCGCCACTAACGAGAAATACTTAAACTATTTGTCTTTAATTCTTATTTATCTTATTATTAGTAATTAAACTTAAACTATATATTACACATATTATTAAATACTAAAAATAAGGTAACCGCCTAGCATTTAATGAATGCCAAATCTATATAATAAAATATAAATAAAAATCTATTCAAACAATATAAAAAAATAAAAATACATAAAATAAGAATTTTATATTTTATATAGATTTGGCATTTTTATTAAATGCTAGGCGGTTACCTTATTTTTAGTATTTAATAATATGTGTAATATATAGTTTAAGTTTAATTACTAATAATAAGATAAATAAGAATTAAAGACAAATAGTTTAAGTATTTCTCGTTAGTGGCGACCGAGTCAGAACATAAATACGTTTGACGATGTGAAATTTGTGGCAGCCAGTGTGGTTGCGGAACTGTACGAACAACAGCAACAGCCAAACCTAAGTAAACCATAGAATTATCTCAGCACAATATTTACTGGCATTGCAGGCTTATCTTTCAACTCACAGTAAATTCAACAAAGATTATTTTGCATTTCTGGAAGTAATATCTAGAAATAGTATTTCTAGAAAATGATAATTTATGATTTATAGCAAATTCATGCTTCGGAAAAGGACTTTGTTGCAGCGAGTAGTCTACTTGCAGTGGGCGTGGATTATTCTCACATAAACAACACCAGTTACACCAGAATACTCTTTCTTCTATCTCGGTGCATGCTTCTTCTAAAAGACAAGAAATTCACAGAGATTCATCCTCTTTTAAATTCAGCGGGTCATCATGTAGAATATTGGTAAGGTAGTCCACATCAAAACGAATATCTGAAAGTCTACTTTTTAGTTCTCCAAGTATGTCACTACCTCATGGCAGGGCAGACACGAATATACTTTTGAGTATTATGATCTATATGTGGTAAATATAATATGTGAAATTATCATTGGTAATATATCCGATTTTCTTATATGTTTTCAAATTAGATGAAAAGCGTGAAATCTGGTTTAATTTAAAACAATTGCAACAAAGCATACAAACTATAATGTCTCCCAGTTGGCCGATTGATGATGTAGTTACAGGTTACAACATAGGAGATATGTACCGGAAATAAGTTGGCGCTGGAAGTTCATATTTTTTAATAATTAATAGCTCAAACGATTGCTCCTTAATTGCTCCGTCAGAATCCAAAATTGGTCCCCTTTTAAAATTAATAGTTTTTGAAATATTTACAAAAAACGTAAAATTTATCATTTTCACTCAAAAACATATTTCCAATAGTTTTCTGCAACTATATCCAGCATAAAACGATTGCTCCTTAATTGCTCCATATTGCTCCATCATTATTTTCATGATTTATTGCATTTTATATCGAAAATTAACAAATTAATCATTTTTCAAGCGATGCCGTCGCCACCTATCGGCCGCCTATCGGAACTATATGGCTCAGAGGCCAACGGTGAGAATATTCAAACATAATATAACATAAAACGATTGCTCCTTAATTGCTCCATATTGCAGATCGTCTTAAGCCTGTATCAGACTACGCATTGAAAATTGAAGATTGAAGATTGAAGATTGAAGATTGAAGATTAAAGATTGGATTTTGACTAATTAGAACAAAAAGGACTAAAATTTCTTTATTCTGATTGGTCAAATTTCAATCTTGAATCTTGAATATCAATCTTCAATGCGTAGTCTGATACGGGCTT